ATGCATCTTCAGAACTTGGACTAGTATAATTCTCTGATCACACCTCTTTTTCTCCTTCTTCCTTGATCCACCACGCCTTTAAGGTAATTTTCCTTAATTGCTGATTTATTTAATTTCTTGGGGTCTATGGCTTGACCATCCAAGCTCTATTCACTGTATTTCTTCTACTATATCTTTCTTAAGTAGAAACAATTAGACCTCTGATTTTTGTTTGTTTACAAAGCAACAAGGCTGCTAATTCTTAATGTTTTATAAACAGATTTTACAGACAGACATCCTCTGTAGACTGGCTAGCTGCTGATGTAGTAACGCTGGATGAATTATCGACCAGGTCAGATTGCATAGGGTTAAAATAACCAGTGGCTCTTTTGCAAAGAAAGACATGGAAATCAGAACATTAAACTTTAGCACTTGCCAAATCAAGGATCTCAGGAATTTGAAATGCCCTCTCCCTGACTTTGTCAAGAGGCTTGTATTGATACAAGTATGGAAAAAATAAAACCTCTGTCAAGTGTGACGCTCGATCTTGTAGACTAGCTTGGGCTTGACCCGAAGTGGTCAGCAGAGCATGGCACTGTAAATGGAAGCCAGCAAGAGCGACTATTTACCCAAAACCTGAAGCAAAGGCTGTGTTTGGAAAATACAGGATGGAAAAAAATATATCGCCATGGCAACAAATTACTTTTATATTCACATAAAGCAAAAATAGATCTCTCTCCCCCTCTCTGAGAAGCATGTGTTTTAAAGTGCATAGAAGACTAAAGGTGATATGCAGAAACAGCTGCATGAATATATTTTCATTTTTCTTCATTTGGTTTATACTAATGTCAGTACAAATCTAAAAGACAGAAATAATTTGGAACCGAAAGTATCTCAGTTCCAGAAGTAGGAGCAGCTTAGGAGAGAAACGTATAATTTTAGTCAAAAGCTCTATTTTGACTTATTATAATGATGGCAGAGTTGAACTTATCAAAGCAAAATGTTCCTGGCATCAGTCACCAGGGAAAATAACATTTCTTTGTGTATTTTTTTCTTTTTAATTGAAAAGCCCCCAAATGTTTTGCTCCTCCTTTTGGCTAACAAAGAAGAATTCTTCAGCTTAAATTACATGAAAGGTAAATGATATTTTAGTATATGTGCTGCCGAAGCAAGCACAAAAGGTAAATTATATTTTGAGGAGTCATTAGATCATGTGCTTCTTTTTCTTTAAACTTCCAGGAGTTTCTCCTCAATGTGGTGATTGCTGTGGAACAGTAGTATGGGGTTTTGGGAGAAACGAAATTGATTCCATCTGATTCCATCCATTCTCAGCATAGTTCTTGAGAGCAGAACCCTAATAAGTTCCCACCAGCACTGCTTATCTCCTGGGTCACAGCCCTCTACAGGCTTAATGGGGCACCACTGACCTGTCCCAAGAGAATGAGGAGTGAGACTTGAAAGTCAACTAATAAGGTAGATATTTGAGTATAGTAAATTTTGTCAACTTTTAGTGCTCTTAAAACATTATTTTCAACACTTAACAATAATCCTTATTTCCTTAGTGAAATCTAAGGAAGATCCTTCATAAGTTTCTTCCTAAAGCCAGCAAATGATTTGATGAACCATATCAAATTGTCATTTATTATAAAACAAAAATGGTCAAATATTAGCAATTGCATAAGGTTTAACCCACTAGATACTTTATGCATTGTAACAGTCTTCTTTCTAAAGCACTGAAGTTATTGATAATTCACTTCAAATTCATCACCATCTTCTTTTTACTTTCATGAATAAAAGGTGAAAAGCTTTTACATTTAGTGTTGGGTTGTGTTTCTAAACATCTGACTATACATGGCCAAATTTCAACTCACCATCGCCACTCACCGCCTAGCAAGACTACTTCTCCTGTAATGTTTATTTCAGCAATTGGCTCTCCCACAGAAAAATCTGAGAGGAATCCTCAGTCAATCTCTTGTTCTCTCTCTTTTTAGCTCCTATTCAGCTCTGAGCACTTATAGTCATGGAGTTTCATCAGTTGTATTAATAACCATCCTTTCTCAGCCTCAATGATATTGATCACTTGTACAGTTCAGGATTTTATCGCACCTGCATTGGTGGACCAGTCCCGTGGCTGGTCTCCACACTTGCATCTCCTCATTCCCAAATTTGAGTTCCACTGCTGCCAGAGTAGCTTCGCTAATATTACAAATGTAAATATCCTTCTCCTGACCAGAAACTTCATGGTTCCCTATTGGCTAGTGATAAACTTCAAACTCCTCAATTATAGACACCTTGGACCACCATGTACTTTCCTCTTGGATTCATTTGCTAATCCTGGTTACTGTCCCTGGAATAGCCTACCTCATCCTACCTCATCTTGTCCAGCCTGGAAATACCTAATAATCATTTAGGGCCAAACTCAAAGGCCAGAGAAAACTCCATGGGAGAAGAGAACGAGCTATTTGTTTATAGTTTATAAACAACTACTTATAATCTTTGTTCATTTTATAATAAGGTTTAGACACTTTCTTATTTACTTATAACAGCTTATTAATATGTTTATGAATTTCTTTTGCAGTATTTTTGCATTTAGTTATTTATAGAATATATTTTTATATACAAATAAGTTAGGAATGGAACTTTTTCCCCTAAATGGAAAGTTAGTTGTCCTGAAATCATCTTTTCTTTACTGTTCTGATCAAAAGCATACAGTTTTATCCAAATTAACTACTATTTTCCATTAAATTTCTCTGCCTACACAAATCAAACTATATCAATTATTAGTGCTTTAAAATGCTTTTGGTATCTGGTAAAACAAATTCTTATGATTTGCCTTTAGTTGTCTAAATTTTCTTGATTGTTTTCCAGATAATAAACTTTAGAATCAGCTTATCAAATTCCATTTGTGTTTTAACTAGAATTGCTCACTATGTATAGATTAATTTTTGAAAAGACAATATTTTCCCTTATTCAATTTCCTTTGCAAAAATGTGTCAGTCTATTTCTGTAGCCTGTTGTCACACTGTCTTAATAACTAGCTTTATACTATTAATAAGTCTTGAAATCTGATAGCATAAGACCTCCAGATTTATGCTTCTTTTTCAAGAATGCTCTGACTTTCCTATGTCACCTACATTTTCATGTAAATTTTAGAATCACCTTTTTAACTGCTTCAAAAGGCATTTTTAGGGTTTTGGCTGGGGTTATACTGAATTGATCAACTAATTTGGAGAGTATTGCTATTTTAACAAAATTGAGTCTTCTAGTACACAAATGTATTTTCATTTATTTCTGTTTTTGTCAATTGCTCTTAGTAATTTTTTGTAGTGTTCAGTGTAGAAATCTTGCAGTTGTTAAATGTATTTATTTTTTTTCTCACAGTCCTAAATTTTTTTTCTATTTATTTATTTTTCTTTTTTAAATTTCAGAATATTATGGGAGTACAAACATTTTGGTTACATATATTGTCTTTGCATATATATGATGGAGTACTACTCAACCATAAAAAACAATTTTTATGCTATTACACATGATGCTTTTTCAAATTCATTTTCAAATTCTTCACGTGAATAGCTTATAGAATTCAATTGATATTTTGATATGGTGGAATTTATGTCCTGTAATCTTGCTGGATACACACATACACATATATACATAGTATAATTATAACATAAGGAGTAATACAATAATATTATTTTTTTTAATTTATTTTATTTCTTATTTCATTAGTGAAAACCTCCACGATGATACTGAATAGAAGTGATGAGAATAGAATCCTGTTTTGTTCCTGATTTTAGGGTAAAAGTGTTAAATATTTCACTGTTATATATAATAGTAGCTGTAGAATTTTTATAGACATACTTTATAAGATTGCTGACCTTTCCTTCTATTTTCGATTTCATTAAAGTTTTTTTTTTCTTATATCATGAATGGGTGTTGAATGTTTCCATGTTTTTTTCTATCTTTTGAAACGATAATAAATTTTCTCCTTGATCAGTTGTTCAGTGACTTATACTGATTGGCTCTTGAATGCTAAACCAATTTTGCATTCCTGAAATAAACTTTACTTACTATCCTGTATTCTAGGTGTTTAAAAACATTTTATGTATTATATTTATTACTAAATATTTCAGATATAAATTTTAATAAGTAACATTTAAAATACTTTAAATATAATTCAATTTATTAAATGTAATGTGTTAATTATAATTTAATATTTTATTATACATTCAAATAGTATTGAATAGATTTACTATTTTAATTATTCATATTTATATGTTAAAAATATATTTTTCATTTTTCTAGACATGATTCTTCATATTGTTAAGGATTTTTGCATCTGTATTCATGAGACATATTGTTCTATAATTTTCTCTTTTTGAAATGTTCTTGGTGGTCTCATAGACAAATAGGAAAATGTTGTTCTTACCTCCTTAATTATTGATAGAGTCTGCGTAAGATTGGCATTATTTCTTTCTTGAATGTTACTCAGAATTTATTAGTAAAGCCATCCTTTGAAGATGATTTTTAATTATAATTTATATTTCTTTAATAGATATGGAGGTATTCCGATTTTCCATTTCTTTTTGAGTCCATTTTTTTTGAGTTAGTGAATTGTGTTTTTCAAGGAACTTGTCAGTTTTGTTTAAGTTGTCAAACTTATTGCTATAAAGTAGTTCATAATATTACCATCCTATCATTTTGGTGTCTGTAGGATCCCTGGTGAAGCCATCTATTTCATTGTTGATATTGGTTATTGATGTCTTTCTCTCTCTCATTTTTCCTTGATTAATCTTGCTGGGGTTTATCATTGCTGTTAATGTTTACGAAACCTACTTTTGATTTTGTAGACTTTTGCTTTTATTTGTTTATTTTCTCTACTTTTAAAATATATCAAATTTGGACCATTTCAGCTACCTTTAACTGTCTCATTAGTTTTCTGTCTCCCTGCTGCTATCTTTGACTCTCCTTCTATTATCAACACAGAAATCACAATGCCTTTGTTAATACAAAAGTCTTACCTTATTCCTCCCTGTCATGTTCCTTCTCTATCATCTTCTTCCCAGGCTCCCTCTTCCTTTCCCACTCCTCTCCAGCTGCAGTGGCTTTCTTGTCGAACAATTCAGGTGTACTTCCAACCCAGAGCCTGCGTATTCTGTTTTCATTGTGGATAACACCCTTTCCCCACATTGTAAGGTTTCTTCTTTTTCCCTTATCTCCTTCAAGTTTTCATTCAAAAATACCTCCTCTGACAAATCAGAAGGGAAAAAGTACTTTTTCAATCTGACCCTTTTTCAATCCAGACCCTTAGCAAACACCATACGTAATGGTGAAATAGTAAACACTTTACGTTTGAGATTGGTATGGTCTGCTAATACCACTCATTTAAGTATTTTATTAGATGTTCTAATAAGGGAAATAAGGCAAGGAAAGATATTACATTTATAAGGATAGACAACAAGAAATAAACTGTCATTAGTTACAAATCGCAAGATTGTACAGGTAGAAAATCCAAAAAATCTACAGAGAAACCATCAGAATTTAAAAGTGAATTTATCAATGTCATTGTATATATTAATACATTGATAGTATCAAATTATTTTATTTCTTTAATTCATCAGGAATAAATTTGAATCTTAAAAAGGATACCATATATAATAGAAAAACCTAATACAAAAATAAATTTAAATTTAATGACTGCAAGATCTCTACAAAGAAAATTATGAAACATTATTGAGATAAATTAAAGAATACCTAAATAGGGTAATATACCGTTACATGTGGATTGAAAGAGTCGATATTGTAGAGATGTCTCTAATTTAACCGATAGATTCATTGTCATACTAATGAAAATCCTATCAGTTTTAGTGTGGAAATTACAAAATTATCCTAAAATGTATATGAAATTTGAAGACTAGCCAAGATAAGATCATGAAGAAGACCATGTTGAAGCAATTCCGTTACCAGATATCAAGGCTTATTTTGAAGCTATGTTACGAAGCACAGTAATGAGTTAAGGATAAACAAATGGAACGATGAGCTAAAGAGAATGACCAGAAATAGACTCACACATACAGAGATTTGATTTATTATAAGAATGCCCCTGTACAGCTGTATAGAAAGAACGGTCTTTCCAATAAATGGTGCTGAGCCAATTAGATACCTGTAAGAAGCTCCTATTCCCTACCATTCTCAAAAATCAATTCTGGTTGGATTGAAGTCTAATTGAAAAAGAGAAAATAATAGTGCTTTTGCAAGACTACATAAGAGAATATATTCATTGTCTTGGGATATACCAAGATTTTTTAAATAAGACAAAAAACATTATAAAGGCAAAAATTGTTATTATTTAGATCATTAAGTAAGGACTTCTGTTCATCATAAGACACTATCATAAGACACTATCAAAGAATGAAGAGTGTATGTGTGTGTGTGTGTGTGTATATATATATATACACGTATATATGAAATACTCATTGCCAGAACATGTAAAGTACTCCTAGAAAAAATATATAAGCTGTGACCTAGTACCATTTACTTTTCCAAATGTTTATAGCTCATTTGATTTGTATCTCTTCATGAATTACTTTTCTGCTTAACAGACTATAGTGTTCAAGGTAGCCTTTTATTTTTAAAAATAGCAATAACATTAATAATCATAATGAATATGACACTCTAATATCATAAAAATGTTTTATTTTAAGTGCTTTGGGATATATTTTTGGATAAGTATATTAAATGTGTTCTTTTTACAATCTTTCATTTATCTATCAATTATTAAAAGTTATGAATAATAACCTATATTCAACCCCAATAACTTAAATAACTCAAAAACCAGTTCCAAGTGGCACCTTCAGCTTTTGAAGGTTTCTTTAGCCGGTCCCTCCCTCTTGTGGTCTCCTTTGCTCCTTGGCGATCACAAGCAGCACATAATCTGCTATAAAGACCACAAGTGGTCTATTCAATAAATAATGACCATTGAAATTAAAGGCTTCTGACTTTTTAAAAAATCATCTCCTTTTAACCCCCTAGCTTTTAACCTCTTGCCATCTTTCCTTCCTCCCAGATAGCTACTGCTTATTGGCCTCTTCAGAGCCTGTGCTTTTTATTCATGCATAGCTTTGATATATGGGCAAAACCATCCTTTTCCCTTGCTCTACTTCTACAATTTGATTAAAATTCTGGAGATTGGCTAGGAAATGTTATTAATAACCATCTATCACACACAAGCTCAACCTCTCTTTGGTTGCAGGGTGAGTTCCTTTTACCTTCTCCTATCAAAAAAGAAAACACGGTTTACAGGTAATTGGCTTGGGAGTCTGAGCTATCTTGCTTATTAACTTTTGCACCTCTTTCTTTTTTGATTCAAGTGTCAATTCTGGACTTGTGAGAATTTTGAATGAAAATAGCTATATGTGACAAGGGTCATAAGTGGATCACCTGGTATATCCATTCCTGGCTGCATTAGAGACTTGGTTTTGTTGTAGGAAACTAATTTTCAAGGCTTCTGTAATAAAACTGATAGAAAAGTCCCAAAGTTAAATAATATGTAGGACCAATACAGAAAACAGTATCTCAATACATAAAACAGTGATATTTTATTAATATAAATTTTATGCCATATTGAATTTACAGAATGTATTTCTATATTGTATTTTTTAAAGTCGCTTAATGAAGTTGTTCCAATAAACACAAACAATTCAAAATTGGGATTATAGCAGAAAGTTATGGATGAGTTGGCAACCAATGTTTGTCATGGCTTTTGCTTATCCATATTCACACAGATAGGTAGTTGCAAAAGGTAATTTTTCTTAAGAAACTTACCTTGCATTATCATAATATGCACTAGTTATATAGAGATGGCCGGGGAAGCACTGCACAAAAATCAATCTATTCTATGGGATAGGATAATCCAGGTTGGTTGATTCCAATGTTGAAATTTGCTATACAATACATTTTTAAATGCATGTTGGTTTTATTTCTGATTTTAAACAGTTAAAATATGCTTAAAATTTATAGTAAATTTCTGTCAGATCCCTGAAGTATATAATCTTTCATATAAAATTTGGTTTTATAAGATCTAAAAATTTAGGGTAAGGCAATAGTTTTTAAAGTACAAATTTTTATAAAATTCTTTCCATTTTTAAATTTTCCCTATTATTAACATCTTGTATTAGTATGGTACATGTGCCACAATTAATGAACCGATGTTGATGCATTATTATTAAAGTATAGAATATATTCATACATGATACATTAGTCATCAAGTATCCCCGTATCCTTAGACTCTTCTTGCTTGTGACAGTTTCTTAGACTTTCCTTGTTTTGATGACTTTGACAGTTTTAAGGAATACTGGTCCAGTATTTTGTAGAATGTCCCTCAACTGGGATTTGTCTGATATTTTCTGATGAATAGACTGGTATCATGGGTTTTTTGAAGGAAGACCACAGAAGTAAGGTGCCATTCTCATCACCTCATACAATCAACATGACTTATCACTGCTGTTAACCTTGACCACCTGGGTAGTGTTTGTCAGGTTTCTCCACTATAAAGTTACTATTTGTTTTCTTCTTTCCACACTGAACTCTTTGGAAGGAAGCCACCATGCATAGCCCACATTCAAGGAGAGGAGAGTACAGACATAAATTATTTGGATTTATTCTGCACGGGGCATTTATCTCTTCTCCCCTGTTTACTTTTTTAACTTAAATTTATTTAAAGTTAATTAAAATAAATTATTTTTATTGATATGTAATAATTATAAATATTTGGGGGTACATCTGATATTTTTGATACCTATATGCAAATTATCAAATCAGGGTAATTCAGATATCCAAAATCTAGCTATTTAAAAATATACAATGCATTGTTGTTAACTATAGTCATCAAACTCTGCTATCGAACACTAGAACTTATTCTATGTAGCTATATTTTTGTACCCTTACCAACTTCTCTTCATCTCCTCTCCCCTCTTTCCTTTCAGCCTCTGGTAATCACCACTCCCCAATCTACCTCCATGAGATCCACTTTTAGCTCCCACATATGAGTGAGAACATGAGATATCTGTCTTTCTGTGTCTGGCTTATTCACTTAACATAATGACCTCCAATTCCATCCATGTTGCTGCAAAAGACAAGATTTTTTATGGCTGAATAATCTATTGTGAATATATATAGCACATTTTCTTTATCCATTTATTAGTTGATGAACACTTAGGTTGATTACATATCTTGGCTACTGTGAGTAGTGCTGTAATAAACATGTGAATGCAGATATCTCTTCAATGTACTAATTTTTCCTTCCTTTTGGATATGTACCCTGCAGTGGGATTGCTGGATCATATACCAGTTCTATTTTTAGTTCTTGAGGAACATCCATACTGTTTTCCATAGCGTCTGTACTATTTTACATTCCCACCAACAGTGTGTAAGGGTTCCCTTTTCTCCACACCCTCACTAGCATTTTTTTTTTTTGTCTTTTTGATAATAGCCATTCTAACTGGGGTGAGATGGTATCTCACTGTGGTTTTGATTTATGTTTTCCTCATGATTAGTGATGTTGAGCATCTTTTTCATTTACCTGTTGGCCATTTGGGGTGAGATGGTATCTCACTGTGGTTTTTGACTTATGTTTTCCTGATTAGTGATGTTGAGCATTTTTTTCACATACTTGTTGATCATTTGTATGTGTTCTGTCTTTTGTCCATTTTTAATTGAATTAATTTTTTTGCTATTGAATTGTTTTGAGTTCCCTAAATATTCTGGTTATTAATCCCTTGTCTGATGGATAGTTTGTGTTTTATTATTTATTTATATTGGCATGGGTTCATGGATATTTATTTTACATGTTGTATTATAATCTAATACTATATTTATTTTGCAGCCATTGGTAGCTCAATTGGTTCCTTTGTTCTTTGATATAACTCATCATTGTGGGGTTTTATAAAACTATTTTTTAGAAAAGCACTTTCTTATTTTCTTGCACCACAAGATGGTTTAGGTTCATTTTGCGTATTTCTTTTCCTAGTCCTAGAATCAGCCATTTCTCCAAAGATCCCTGGTTCGTTTTACTAGAGAATAGTATTAGAACCCAAAATCTAGGTGCTATGTAGGTGGATTGCTCCCAGGGTATCATTGCTTCTAGGCCCTCTCTGCTGACAGAGCAAGGAAATATATCTGTGACCTCTACATGTATATACATTAA